ATAGAGAAGGTAATGTATACTAAATAATCTCGTATAATTACTGAATAAGGTACATAACGTAATAACGCTAGTCTCAACGTCACTTTTTATTGAATATTCAAAGTGGTAACACTATTAGTAGCGACATTTCTCATAATGTGTAATAAACGATTAGCCTAAAAACTTTTTCCGTTTTCCTTCTGTTTTTCTCTCGTATCATCATCCTCGCAGTTTTTTTCTTTTTTTTTCGTTTTTGTTTTTTTGTCATCACCGTTATCGCGTGATCGTTTCCTGAGACGAAATACAAACAAACTTGTTTTTTTTATGTTTTTGCTTCGTCACATAATAATTACACGTATAATAAGATTTATTAGAGATATTGCGAGAATCTAGCATAAAATCAGTGACGAATAAGTGTATTTATACACATATATGTAATTATATATATAAATACGCGTACGTAAATCATATATAATTATATATATAAACTATATATATTTTAACAGTATAGGTATAGGTACACTTACGGTGTAAGAGAGTTATCTCGGAAGCAGAGGATCGATTTGATAGATTGATTTTCGCCGCGGGATTACGTCGCGTCGCGTCCGCTTCCGAGATAAATCGGTGCTCTAAAAATCACGACGTCTATCTTACGTCAATTGCCTATCTATATTCAGGCGGTTTTTTTTATTTTCATCCTTTTCTCTTAAAGCACGGGCTTAGCGTGAACTCGATCGCGCAAGCTCGATCGGAGGAACGGCAGCCGTTCGCCGTTACACGCGCGAGATCGATGTAATAATAATGCAATTTTTTTTTTTTTTTTTTTAAGTTGAAAGACCGGAGTGAGTTGAATGGAGATATGTGTTACATTGAAAAACAGCAAAAATGGATTGCGACGTTTCGGAGGAGGGACGGATAGTTTTTTTTAAGCAAGATTCAGATTGGCGAGTCAGCAGAAACGACGAACTTCGCGAGCGAGTAACGGATCTGTTCGTGTCTTCTCAGAATAAAATACGTAAAGTTCGTGTTCGTACCTTTGATGAGAAACGGAAAACAAAAATAAAGTGTAAGCGCAACGCAAACAGCGACATTACAGCACGCTGCTGCAGTAAGCAGCAGTGATGACGCGTCGAAAATGATACCGCGCGTTAAAAAACTGTAATGCGCGCCGTTTGCATCAAGATGTAACATTCTGAGGTTACACAAAATTATTATTCCGCAAAAAAACTGAAAAAAATTCTGATGCTACAGAAAGCGAATGATACTGCCGGTAAATCAAGATACACACGTAGGCGGTAATACCGCGATAAGCTGTGATTCGCTAATGTGAATCCTGCCTTGTCGAATTGGTTTACAAAGTGTCTATTGCACTGCTATAACTATTGCTGATTAGGACTATTGCGGTGATAAATATAATAAACGCTGTGTGTGTATGTGTGTGCACATGTGATATGCCCGGAAATACAATAATTGCAAACTATACCCTGATTGTTATTCCGTACAGTTATACAGAATCTGATATCATCGATGAACTCTTTCTCCGAAAGCCGACTGTGCGCGTGAAAAATCTGTCTTTGACGAGATACAAGAGAGGTGCATTTAAAATATCTTATTTGAAATTTCTACGTGTTATAATGGTTGTTTTTTTTTTCTTTTTTTTGAGTAACTGTCAAGGATTATTTCTGAGAACAATAAAACAAAGCTGACTTTATAGAAACGAGAAAAAAGAAACAAACAAGATTAAAACTTATGTTCAGTTTTCACTCTTTACACGATTAATATATTTAATAAGTATAATTAATATATAAGTATAATTAATATATTTAATATAATTGATTTTAATATAACTAATGTAATATATATTTACTAATTAATTGTGACACATATAACAATGTGCCCGACTAAAATCGTCGGTTTGTGGCAAAAGTGTTCCTCGATCATTTTTCTACTATATGTTTAAACTATTAATAAAGTGCAATCGATTTCACGCAATCGATATTTCGCCCGTTCCCATTTCTTTCCCGTTTTTTTTTTAAACATTTTGTCCTCGCACGGATTAATTAACGGTCGCTTATGGCAACCGGACGCACGCACATTAAAAAGGCTACGAAAGGCTATACTTAAAAATTAGTGAAACACAATGACAGTGCATATCGTCGATGCCTCGAGTGAACTTTTTATCAAAACTCCATCAATATATATATATATATATAATATAGATATATATATATACACTTACTCTCTTGCCGCGAAGGTTCAGTTAAAAAAATTGAGCTAAACACGGCGATGGAGAAAAGAAGGTGGTGGCAAAAGGGAGAAAGAAAACTGCGAGCAAAGCAAACAGATATATCCGCCGAGGGACGAGACAAGATGAATAGCTTCACAGGCGCGAAGCTCGAGTGTGTCTTTTCAATTACTCTCTCTCTTTTCCTGATGTAATTCTAATTCGAAAGTTTTTTTAAATATTAATTAACGCGATTGTTACGTCATTAATTTCTTACGGCGAAATATTGAGAGAGATATACGCGTCTAAAACTGATTTCAACATGTAAAAGACGAATTAGCACTAACATAGAGCCCGTTCGTGTTGCTTTTTGCTCTTAGAATAATAAGATGTTTGTACTTGTAAAAGAAAAAAAAATAAAAATAAACAACGTGTAAGCAACACGAGCCAAGTCTCATATTTTCGAATTCAAATTCGATCGCGTTTTTTTTTTTTTTTTTTTTTTTTTGACGAAGGAAACATTGAAGAAACAATTAGATCCGCAAGTAGCAGTAGAGTCCATATACAAAGACAGCTTTTTTTCCGAAAGAGACAGAGAGAAAGAGAGAAAAAAAATAAATAAATGTCCCGCGATAGATTGGAAAAGATATTTTAATATGTTTCTTGTAATCCTTTAAAATACCGTCGAGCAGACACGACGGGTATTTCTTTCCACTCGAACGGAGCTTCGAAGAAGCGCGACTTCTCAAGCGGAACATCGTGGTGTAACGAAACGATTCTGCCCGGGCGTTGCGGTGGGTGGGCTCTTCTTCTACTTACCGATTCGATTTAATTCGCAGGAATTTCGACGAGACTTCGAAATATAACGTCAAAATATCTCGATAGATATAGTCTTCAGCGTACCAAACGTTTTCCTTTTTTTTTTTTTTTGGATGTCCTTCTCTGCGTTATGATACAATTGCTGTTCTCTCTCCCTCTTTTTTTTTCACTCTTTCTCTCGCGTACGCACGCACACTCATTATTACGCTACGGAGCATATTAAGTATCTCTATCTTTGTCAAAAAATAGGACATCGTCGCTACTCGATCATCGGTCCCGCAGTTCCATGCTGGTCGCGCGCGTGCCTCGACCACACTGTGCGCTTTCGAAAGATTTCTCCCGAAAGGTACACTCGTATACGTATTTCGAAATGAAAACAAAACCTGCAAGATATACATGTTAAAAATCGCAAACCAAAAAAAAAACAAAAAAAAAAGACACCACCAACGCGCAAGTCGCGTTCATTTTTGTCGCGCGACAACGATCGAATCAATGCCAGATCGTAAGCACGAGTTACTTCGCGAATCTCGCTTTGCGCTCGATCGTCACGAGTATCGCTTCGATGAGACGGCGGAGGGATAAAAAAAAAAAAATAATAAAAAGAAAAAAAACGTCAACATCGCTCACACACGCGACATCACTGAAAACTATTTCCAACACGGAATGTAGTAACGATCGTGCCACACATGATATATATATATATATATGTATATATATATATATATANTATATATATATATATATATATATATATATATATATATTTATATTCTCAGCTTATCGATAAAAAGCTAGTCTTTGATATTACAAGAACACCACACGGTAATACAATCGTGAGCCCGTCACGCTGTTTACGCACGGAATTAAGAGATCCGCGCGTCGTCTCCTTACGCTTTTAAAACTCTCTTCGAGTCTTACGCCGTAATGAACGGAGTAAGTGTTAATGTATAAGCTACACAAGCGAGTATGGGCAATGAGAGAAGAGGTTAGCATCTCACACAACGGATACACCGATCCGTTAGAAACAATAGGAAGAGAATATCTCGAAAACTTCTCGCGTTCAATGCTTTTACTTTTTCGAGCTCGAACAATGACGAAAACGAAGTGTGCACTCGAATTATTCGAATAGTTCGAAAACAGAATTACTTGAATAAAATTATTCGATTAGTTCGAAAACAGAATTACTTGAATAAAATTATTCGATTAGTTCGAACCGTTCGAACTGTCCAAACTGTTCGATCAATCGATCAATGTTTATAAGAATCTAGCAAATTCGAAACAATTGGCCGCGTTCGGCGAGACCGAGCGCTCAGTTTAAGCGCTTTGTGTTTGTCATTGGCGTGTACTCTCTCATTTGCGATAGATCTGGAAGAATCAGATCACTCACAAACACTAAAACGCGAGAAGTGCTGAGTTCCGCTGAACGCAGTCGTAAACAGAAAAAAAGAGAAAAAAATTCTGTTTATTTCTTCTTTTCTTCTATATATATATATCTTTATTTTTTTTATCATCGTTTCTCATGTCAAACAAAAAAGTTGTCATGTCGAAAAGATCCAAACTGTTCGAACTATTTAAATATATAAGGGTAGGTACTTCTTGAAAGACTCGAACAATTGAATGTTCGAGCTTGAAAAGTTCGAACAATTCGATTAGTTCGAACGTCTATACGTAATTGTCGAGCTCTTATACAAGATGTTTGACGATTACTTTCAAATCTCTCGTAGGCAGATAAAAGGAGTAAAACTGAGTCGAAAAGTCCTGAACCCATTTTTTTTCTATTACATATAATAAAGGAGTAATTGTTGAATAAATCAAGCCAATCAGCGTTGACCTTTAGCCGAACGCGCGTCAGTGAACCACGCGCCTGGTGTGCGTGAGCGCTGAGTCGTAGATCGGCGCTGATTGGCTTGATTTATTCAACAATTACTCCTTTATTATACGTAATAGAAAAAACTGGTTCAGGACTTTTCGACTCAGTTTTACTCCTTCTACCTGCCTACGAGAGATTTTGAAGTAATTATCGAACACCCTGTATATTAAGTCGTTACATTTGATCCGCGATTTCGAAAGAGTCTCTCACAATTGTTTCCAAATGTAACGATTATTGTGACACGATATAATCAACAATTGAACTGATTATCTCGATTTTGTTTTTCTTCTCTTCCCGGCGTGTGGTAATTTGTTGGAAATGAACCGTCGCTCACGATGGACGTTATGGCAGCTTAAAAAGGTGACAACATTTGATGATTTTTTTTTCGTTTAAAGTCGAACTCGTGAAAAAACGTCACGACGAATTGTCACGCGGGATGTGATGAAAATATAGACACGTGTTCACAAAACTGCGAATGAAAACATCGTACGCGAACGCATCTCGTTTGTCGCGTTAGTCGTCTCGAATGGACACACCTGTATACACATATATATATATGTATAATATAAAAAGTTTAATATAACGTTTCCCATGAACAAAGTGAATATCGCAAGCAAAACTATACAAAAGATTGTTCGGCCGCAATAGGCGACTGTCATCGATAAAAAAAACAATCTACAAACATGATAACTTCAAAACAGCATTGCTTTTTTTTACCGATTTTCTTCGCTTTTTTTTCTTCAAAATCTCACACGCACGTCGATTGTTATTTCTTTATTTCGGGTGAATCTTCGCTGGAATATAGCCGTGAACCGCATCCAACGCGATCTTCCGAATCACTTATTACATGGTCCCCGCGTGAAAAGTCTCTCTTCGGGATTTTTTTGCGTCTACATGTTCGAGAGATATAGGGAACAAGTTAGGACTACTAAGGTAGGAAGCGTCACGCCCGTGTTCGAGAAGCATTCAAATAGCTCACGTTTCCGGCAAGCGAAACGACAAGCTTGCCGGCTATTTCCTTCTCATCGTCATTTACGCTTGTTCGCAATTCTACACGCGACCGCGCGCTTTTGTTTTTCTCTTATCGTTTTCTTTATAGAGACGTTTCTTCTGTTCATCGCATTTGCGGTGGTTTTTTCCGTAATAGGATACAAAAATTTAGAAAAAAAAAAAGTGTTGTAGGAGTACACAGTCTCGGATATACCTGACGGGGAGATGAACTTACGCGATGACGACGTCGTGCGCGTACAGTTGACGGCCGATCAGCCGCCTAAAAAGATCCGCGATGACGAGAGCTCTTCTTCTTCTTCTTCTTCTTCTTCCTCTTCTTCTTCATCTTCTTCTTCTTCTTCCTTTCCTTCATCCTCTCTTGCTTCTTCGTCCGCTTCTTTTTGTTTTTTGATCTTGATCTTGTTTAAGAGTCTGGCCGAGCTCGAGCGGCAGGAACACGGGAGATTTCTCGTCAAATGAAGATGGATCACGTCGTGTTGTCTCAGCCTAGTCCGGCCCATTGCATGAAGTCGGGAACTTCTCTCACGGGCACGTCCCTGGCTAGAGCCTTCACCCTGAGGTTTCGGTCTTCCGTGAGCAGGACCACTTCACGTCTCAATCGCCGTGGTTGTCCTTCCTCTGTTGAGGCAAAAACTGGGAATCCTCAATGTTTTATATCAAGCAGAAGCCCCGCTAATAATTTTTTTCCGTCTGAGTAATCTTTAATAAATTCGAATTAGCGAACTCTCGCCTCAGGAGATTCTCTTTAATTAAACAGGTAACAGAGAAAAACGTTCCCTCGAAATATATATCTTTTTTGGTAAATTTACGTATCTCATTCCCTCTCTGATAACGCGGAATCGCGCGGATGTAACAAAACAATAAATTATCTTTTCCTATATATTCATCTTATATATAAAAAACAAAATTTGCAAAATAAAATCGCGCGACTATAAAATATCTTCGAATAAAATGTTTAGAACAATCGATCGTCACGATACTACGAGATTGATTAAAAAATAAAAAAGAAAAAAAACAATACAATACTCGATGCCCACCTGTGTTTGCCTGGTCCTTGTTGCTTCTGCAAAGACTGAGGCACGTAGTCAATATCCTGTCGTCGTTTCGTGTCAGCCCATCCTGAAACATCGCGAGACATTGAATATGCCGATGAACTCGGCAGATAATTACCCATTCCGCGACGAAACAACATCGAGAGCAGAAAACGAGCTCTCTCGGATTCGTCACACAGGAATTGTCATTAAAATTGAGCTTTCAGTTCAGACCGGAGGCACACTGTGTTCGCGTAACACTCAAATGTGATCAAGCATTGGTCGCGCGACGTCGTAGAAAATAGCTTGCACGTGGGTGTTCTTCTCCGTGTGATCGGCTCGTTATCATAACATTCACGCTTCGATGAACACCGAGTTCGAGTGCCTATCGTTCCGTCGGTCTTTAAAATAAATGTTCCGCGCTCTATGTACCACGTGGCTGCTGTAACTTCTCGCGCGCGCGTGTGTAACCGTTAAAATCCTACCTGCCTATCGACTAAACGTCCAAATCGATTCGCTTTATCGTGCCGTTTCGTACGCCGCGGGCGTTCACGTATCAAATCGCTCACGAAAATATCACGAGAAAAAATTTGCGTATTCAAATCAGTCATGGGAATGGGTTTTGTAATTGCCATTGACATTCGATTACATTTAATTATTCAACAAGATGCGATACAAGATAATAATGATAATAATTTCCTTCTCGAATTAAAGGGACGTTTTTTTTTCGAGAACAACGCGGGAGAGTTATTTGAATTTTTATGAACTTGTTAAGATAAGAAAGATCTCTTCACACACAAAAAAGTGAACAGAAAAATTGTTCATCGAGAGTTTATCTCGGTCCACGTTACGGGACGCGATCGATGCAAATTTTTGTGTCCTCCGAATACCACAGCAAACCGAATACAGTTACTCGAGAGGCCGCGATGTAAGCGTAACGAATCGCCGAGGTTCGTCTCGCTTCTTTACCTTACCTTGTCGACGTCTTCTTCCACCGTAAAAGTGCTGGATGTGAGAACGGTGCCTCTCGTGGTTAAACACCGAATCGCCGGATTTCGGCTTCTCGCGAAGGCCAGCGCCGCCTTAGCGCTCTCGGCGACGCGCGCCACATGCTCGGGATTCAGAGCCGCCCTCGATGCTGGAGGACAATCTCTCGCATCGGCGCCTCGCGCCAGACCTTCCAGTTCGTTTAGAACTACAACAAGAAACAAACCCAAGCGCGATTCCGCTCGTTAAAATCAAGATTATTAATTCCTCGTCGAATCTCGTTTCGTAAAACGGCGTTCCGTAGAAAAATTAGTTTTAAAAACGAAGAGAGACCTTAGGAGAGAAACACCATGTCGAAAGAAATTTATGGTCACAGTCGTCGCGAACGTTTCAGGTCGCATACATTATTACACGCGTTCATGTATGTACGAGCCGTGAGAACTTAACTGTGAACGCTGACCGTTGCTCGCCATCGTAGAGTCCAGACAAGCCCGCGGCGGCCTGACTGGCTTGCGAGGTCAAAGGGCAAGCGCGCCGACCGATTTTGCATGAGGGTGCACTTTCGTTTTTGGGCCCCACGAGCCGCGCAAACGATACAAAGAGGAAAAATACAACACAAAAGAACCGAGAAATATTTTCTTACCAAACAATGGGATGAACTTTCTATTTTTTTTCACGATTTTTTTTCTGTTGTTTTTTTTTTTCTATCTTCTAAAGAAAAAGAGTTTTTGTTAGTTGGCAATTTGGCACCCGATAAACTTCGTTGTCTCATGAAAATATTTGCAGAGACAATTTTTTCCATCATCTCTCACACATTTTACCACGTACGTTTTGTTTATAGAAAGAATCGAAAGAGTTTGAATTGATACAAGTCTGGCAAAAAATCGTCAGAAATCGAGTTTATGTCACACTTCATTTATGACGTGTCACTTCCCGATCCTACGTTATCTCTTTTGTAAGGAACAGACGCGTGAAATTTTCTCAGCGAGAGGATTATTGTTGAGTGCTTTGAGAGAGGTTTATCGACTTTATTTGCCGCAGATTGCCGCGCGCAAACGCGCCCCAGAGAAGCAATCTACGGAAAATGCAAATAGGAGATTCAGCAAACTTTCCCCGACTCGATAAATTAACCGGCTGCCAGCCTTATCCTCCTTCCAGACCAGACTCCCCGAGCGAACAGACAAGGGTGCTTGGTAGTGGATGAAGTTTGCGAGACAGAAGGGGCGGAAATAGAAAGAATAACTGCGCGGAGCGAGAGAATACGGGAAATGGTGTTATTTATCACCACGGATTTGCAGACGTCGTTTATCATTGTGCGATAAATAGTCATTTTGTTCGCTGATATATAGACCCGTGCGATGATCAATTAACCATTAGATTGTCAGTACCTAAACATTTAAATGGAAATTCGCTCGGAAAAATCGAGAACGGATAAATTCTTGTTTTATTTCAACAATGCGTGTTTGTGTTTTTGGCGTAGAAATATTTGAACCTGTTGTGAGAACGGATGATGAAGTCGAAAAACACGACGAGCCGTGACTAATTGATAATCGCGATAATGTCACTTTTGAGCTATGAAAATCCTCGAAGCAATAGTCCTTGCCCGATCGCGCAACGGTCACTACCCGGGTCCTAACCCTAACAAATAGCTCGGCTAATTCAAAAAAACTCTTCCGCAAAAAGATTAACAAGAAATCTATGACAAAAATAAGATACGGACAATATGACGTAAGTTTCCGTAAGATATACCGTGCGGCATCATAAATAGATTGTGCTGAATCGACGATTGGATCAGCGTTAATTGGCGATAGTGATGATGATGATGGATGAGCCTTTCGATTTCCAGCGGCCTTGAACCTTGACATCAGCCTTGTCTTCGGGCGAAACGTATATATGTGTGTATGTATGTTGTGTTGTAACTTTCACGATTCGACATTTTAACGAGAGTCCGCATTTTGCATTATCATGTTTCAGCCAACTTGGCAAATTCAATTTCTACAATGAAGTTGTTCCTGTGGCATTTCAATCGAGCAAATCCCTCAATACAGTAATACCAACATATATATATATATACACATATATGTATATATCTCGAGATAACGACTCTACTCGTACACACAAAATGAATTCGTCACGAGAAATGAAATGTTTGCGTTAAGATATATACGCGCGAGGCAATAAATGCTCCGAATGTACGACGTCATAGCTATTATTCAAGACGTATTGCTATAAAACACCATGAAAATGTCAACCGCGCCGTGGAAGATTTTAAATTTATCGCTGATTGCGTTTTGCTGAGTAGCGAGTGCCTATAAAATGCGACTATTAAGAAACAACCGCTCGTTCATCGTCGCTCGCGTCGTGCTATGCGTCATCGTTGCTGTCATCGTTTACCGAGACCGATTGAAAAAGAAACGAAATAGAAACCGGCATCTTGCGGTGTTAGGTATCGATGTATTTGTAAAAGACTCGCGGCTTGATGCGCGGTGAGTTATCACGTGTTGCGTGATCTCCGCGTTCTGTTGTCACTCACTTTCGCTTCATCACAAGAAAAGTGATTTAACGTCGAACAAAGAAAGCTCTCTTCTAGTTAGTAAAAACAGATAATTCGGTAACGAATGTTTAAAGAATATACAAAGAATATTTTTTTAAGAAAACTACTACTACTGTGGCTGTAACGGTTATATTTACATAGCGGAACGTGTGCAGCTGTGAAACCGGAACGCTGCGTAATGCTTCGGATTTAATAATGACTTCGACGTCTTCGGGGCCGTGAATTCGTTTGGATCCCGACGCGGGACCGTTAAGGAAAGCGCGCCCTGACAATGCGCGCGACCGCCGCGATCAGCGGCGCTCGGGAGGAATTGCTCAACGCTAATTGGAGCGGAGGAATCGACGGCAGCGGCTCGCATTCCTCAGCATCATCATCCTCCGCCGACGAGAGCCGGCGAGCTGACGCAAGCGCCGTTAATGGCCGTATCGGCCGGAGTTCGATCCGGCTCTGGCGACCGCACAAAGCGTTTCTCCGACGGTAAGCGCGACGATAAGCACCGGGGGTAAATGGAACAATTCATTCTCACGGGACGGAGAAAGAGAGAGAGAGAGAAGAGAAAAACAAGAGAACGGGCAGGAAAGTATCTGCGACAGGTGACGCGTAATGACGATGACCTAATGAACTATGCCGCGCGCTAGAGAGATCGGCGAGCCGACTATCGTCGACAATGAACGACGCAAGAAACAAAGAAACTGAATTTGTTTGCGCGATTGCTTTGACACAAGATCCTTCGAGAAACGACCCGATCAAACGACGCGGTTTGTGTCGATCTTGTGGGTTCATCTTTCCGCGATTGTGTAAAACACGTATAGTAAGATTTTGGTATCACACTTACCCACAAGTGGCACCATGAGGGTGTAGATCGGTTGCGCACCGGAAGTTGCTCTTGTGATTGTTTGCAGCTGCTGCAGATAATCGATGAAACAGTTTGTGTCTGGCACCAGTTGTCTTGGTCTCACTTCGATCTCCACCGACACCGACGATTTTTGCAAGATTGCCTGGAAAACATTCCAAGCAACGTCCCACATATTAGAAAAATATAAATATATATCTAAAATAAAATTAAAAATAATTTTGAATATTCCAAAACAATTGTAATTCGCTACAACACACCGTTAGAACTGCAATATTGTTTGCTGCACTCTCTTGCAGATATTGAAACAAAATACTGGGTTTTAAACAAACAGCCGCGAGTCCGAGTCACGTAATGCGAAAATACAGGAGACAAAATTTGGCTCGAAATCGGTTTCTTAATGTCTGGACCTTAGCTCTTTATGCGTTTTCTACAGATAAAAAGAGAGAACGCGCGTGCGTGTGCAGGATGCAACGGCAGACGCATTATCGTTCCGATTGAATCCCACGTATGCGAACGATGCTTCGTGAGAGAGGCAGTGGCGCGCACCAATGTCGGCTCGGTAACACAACGTGAATGCCAATTGTTGTAGCGCAGAAGCTATACAAACCGTAATGATGCCGCTAATGTTGTTTCACTTCGTGAAAAGACAGAGAGGTTGCTTCCGACAATAAAGAACTACTTTTTATAGATGTCTCGGAGTTTCGAAGTTATTTATATGTACATCTTCTTCATTAAGATGCTAAAGTATTCGGTATTTTAATTGTCATCTCGGTTTGTTACTACGTTTTAAATAATTCTAAGATCCTATCGCCGATAACGTCACATTTAAGTAGAATATTATACCCACTAACACACCTAATAATAGCTACTGAAAAAACTACCTGAATTTAAATACAGTTGTAAGACGAACAATTTATTATCTACTTTCTTTCGCGCTTCTTTTTCGAATAGTTGCTCTTGATTATCAATCACAAAAACGTAAATTTATCGGCTACATTATAAATTGAGAATGCAACTTAATGCGTGAAAATCAAAATTAAACAATATAAAATTTTCGTAGAGAATTAATTGTTCAATTTGAATCACGTTATTACATCTCGAGATCGCAACAGTATCTCTCGAAAATTATTCGAGGATGTGCAGGATATGGTTTCGCGCTAATGTCCGTGCGATGGCACGTACGGGTAGGCGAAAAGCATGCGAGGAATCTGAAGACGAGCCTAATTGCTCGTGGGAGTACACGGGCGGAATGCAAAACTAGGGGAGTCCGTGCACACTCGGTTCCCGTGACGTCGCCAAGCCGAGGCCACGTCAGTGTGTAAAGTCACACATGTGGAAACAAAATTCGACACCCATCGACGTGCTCGTTGGTAATTTCCATTTTTTTTTTTTTTTTTTTTTTTTTTTTTTTTTTTTTTTTTTTTTTTTTTTTTTTTTTTTTTGTAAAACTATCTACACCCGCTTCTTCGCGAAAATTTGCGAAACACATTTCGTCTCTTAAAAACAACGCCGAGGTATCGAACTTCTCACATTTATTATTTTCGAGTTACTCTGACCGAATCTTCGCGCAAACAATTCTTACGCTTCTTCTTCGAAAAGTCACGCGCGTGTATCAAACGAGAGATATACCGATTTCTCTTCTCCGACTTTCTGACATAATAGGTATTTTTAAATCTACCATTCTCGCGGCGCAGGTATAATAAATAACCGAAGAACACCCATCCACGTTTCCTCGTAAAGAGTTTAATGCGAATTTGGAATGAAAGTCCCGACTCGGGTCCCGAGAACCAAGTTTTAAGCCGCATAATCCGATGTATACAAAGCTCGGAAAGGGCTAACACGTTTCAGAAATACAATATATATTGAAGTACAAATAAATCTTGGCGCGAAATCACCGTGCGGGATTTATTACGTTCGACTTTAGGGTGCGTTTATTTGCGCGAGCGCGCGCCGTCGATTGTCCCTCGTTTTATAAATTATTCATCGTATGATCTGCACTAACGATAACCGCGCACGACGTTAAAACCCTTTTGCTTCTCGGAGTACCTCCAATTCTGGACGTGCTTCGTTTTCATTTTTTTTAGCGGACTCATGATAAAAAAAAAAAAAAAAAACTTCAACTCTCAAACCGGCCTGTCCGAAAACGTCCGAAAAGTTCTGGGGTAAGGACAAAAAAAAAGACGCGCACACAAACGTCTATCGATTATTTAAATACACACGTAAGAGCTCGAAACATGTATAGATTAAAAAAAAAATAAATTGAATTTCAAAAACTTTTTAAAATACAATTTTTTATTTTATTTTATTTGCTAAGCACGAGATTCACGAATCTCCTACTAGCGAGCCACGTAGTTTCAGGCTTCGAGTAGACAGCGACTCGTTTGTAAATGAGCGAGAACATCCGCTTGAACATTCAGGCGGGGCACGACGGCACGACGTGTATAAGCGAAATGTCCATTCTAGTTACAGCGACACGAGCGTCAAATTTAATTTCCGCGAACTATATGCCGTCAGACGAGAGATTAATCCGTGCGTGACGTTTACACGCAACCTTTATTAGATTGCAATCAATCCCACCGCGATTAATGGTCGCTCAAAACAGAATGATCTCGCGCAATGATCGCGACTTGTCAGCCGAGAGATATCCACGGATCTACGGAGATGCTATTTGTTATTCGAGATATATTACGAGCGAGGAAATATCAACTCCCCTTTTTTTCAAATCCCATAATTTATGCGGCCTACGTTATCGCGTCTTATCACGAGACGCTAACGTCACCCGCGTTCAGGCAACCTTTTTCTTTTTCGAATTCAATTCTTCTCTTTCGCTCTCTTTCTCTATCTCTCTCTCTGGCACGTCTCATTACGGCGCGCTGTGCGTGCGACAGCATAAAAAGTTCAGGAATGTACTCCCGTTTAAAGTATTCGTGAATTCTTAAACGATGTGGCGTGTACCGTTGCACACTCCCGCGAACGTAGCACCATTCGCCGTGTGTTTCTCTCTCTCTCTCTCTTTCTTTCTCTCTCTTTCGATCGTCTCGTTCACGGTTTCTCGTCACTTTTTTCCCTCCGTGGGCCTGCTCGCTCCTCACACCTCGCGTCTCGCACCTCGGCCTGAGCTCGTGAGAACCCTCGTTGAATCACGCATCGCGGCCCCTACGCCCGCGCGCATATTAAGCGCACACCGACACGGGTCTTCACACGCTCGAGCGGGTCCGCGCCCCGTAACAACATTGTAAATGCGCAACACTCGCGGAAACGTACCTGGTAACCGTCGGGGACAGGTTCGCAAGATCGTCTGTCCGGCGAACAAGGAACGTGCGCGCGTGCTCGTGCCGCGGCTCGAGCATGGAATAACGCTCTTCTGCGGATACAAAAGAGAAACGGAGTCGTCGGTTGCATTTTTCTTGTCTCTCGGATTGTCAGCCGAACATTTGTCGCCGCGAAACAATCCGTCAATGTGCGAAAGAGACACTCATCGATCGAAACTCTATTAGCTCTGACCTTGCTTCGTCAACGTTTCTCGCGCAGTTTCGCGATATTTTTCATCCGATCTCATCGAATAATAATAACATCCTTTTAGAAAATTGAAAAATTATATTACTGTAATGTGTTTTGATAATGCTATGACATTATTATATCGTTCGTATTGATTTCTGTGAGAAAACTCTTACGAGAAATAGATTTTCGTAAGTAGGTTACGATAAAAGAAAACCTAGGTATTTTTGATGACCGAATGCTGAATAAATGATATGACGTAAAAGCACGGGGAAAAATAGTAGAGTATCAGATTCGGGGATAGGAATACAACGGTTCCTTCAGTTGCTTGTGAATAAATTATACATTATTGATCTCGAGAAAAGTTGGCGCTCGATACGTATCAACGCGCGCGATCTTAATATAGTATCGAGTATGCGAACACCGTACAAGTTCAATACGGTACCTGAGAAAAAGAGAGAACACAGAGAAGAAAAATCAAATATATATATGTGTGTGTGCGTAGGTAACACGTTCCAGATTACACATAAATGTTACACCAAGAGATGCGTTAAAAAGTTCGGTTGTCATAAAACGCACGATGACACATTACGGGATAATGAGTAGCTGATCGATAATTTATGATAATTTATGATAATCGCAAGATAATTATAGTAATACAATAATCTGCCACTTATTATTCGTAATTATTCTAGAGAAAATAGAGGTGCAAGGGGCACGCCGAGGATGAAAAAAAGCTCATTCAGCAGATATGATAATATTGCACCTGATAAAGAATCTTTTTTTAATTTAAAAAAACGACAAAGATGCGTGGCGTGAGGAGTCAACGTTTGCAGAAGGCACAGAAATCGATTTCTTATCGAAAACCCACCGAAGGGTTCGTCGATGAACAAACTCGAATTATTACGGGCGGCGTTCGTGTGCGCCCATCGGGAACGTGTATACCTACGTAAGTTCCCATAAATCAGACAGATATCCAGTCTCACCAGTCGCGAACGATCGTCGTGTAGCCGTGTTGCTCCATAATCGTTACATCTGTTACATCGTAATCGTTATCGTTTCAATTATCCGCGAACCCGTTCGGCCGACGGAGACAGTAATCGAAAAAGAGAAAGAGATTGAAAGAAAGAGAAAACGAGAGAGAGAGAACGATTGACTCGTACAGGTGCAGCTGTGTCGTCGTGTGCAGTCGCTTCGCATAATTCTCGCGTTACACCTAGGGTTAAGATGTTTCCTCCCCATAAGGGAGAGGAAGGTCGCGTCCGATAGTCGCGGCGATTTTATTGACTCGACGCGCGATTACCACGTGGCGAGAAACCGCGCGAAGGAGCGGCGTGTGTCAACGCGACCGCGAAAGCCAATGAAAGAGGAATCCGAAGTGCCGCGATAAATTGCGAACGATACGATCTAAAACCGCCTATTTTCTGTCCGCGCGTACAATTTCGCGGACGTATCCCAACCACCTCTCCTCGGGGGAATTATGGATTCGATATCGTCGATAATACGCGATATGAATATCTCGAACGTTTTCTCGTATCTGCAAGCTCTCGCGTTTCTCTCCTGCTCTCTCTCTCTCTCTCTCTCTCTCTTTCTTCAAATCCGATAGTTTTCCCGGTCTCGATAATTAAACGTTTCAGCTTCTTC